CGGTGTCAAGTCGTGGATGTGGAAGCCATCGAGAGAGCCGAGTAGCTCAACGGCGCGTAGACGCGGTTTGGCCTGCTCGTTCCCGCCGATTATGTGGCCGTTGGCGCTGGCGTTGTCTTGCGTGGCGGAGGGCATGATGAAAACGGGAAGCACGTCCGAGGCGATGGATGGCTTGACCGAGATTTCTGACCGAGGTTCTTCTGATTTGTCGTGGTGGTAAGACAATCTCTTGTTCAGGGGTTTGTGATTAGGATGCGGCTTCACATTCGTGCTTGAGCATCCTCCAGGCCAGCATTGTGCAGACGAGCCATACATATCCGATCACGCCTTCGCCTGTTGGCGCGGAGAAACCGAAGCAGGAGGCAGTCGTCGACTCGTTGCGGAGAAAATATCGGGGATTCGCGATGGCGTCATCTGACCCAAAATGAGCCCGTCGGCCGCGCCAACCCCGTCCTGGACGAAGCGCCCGACCGGTGCCGCCGCGACTCTCCGCGCGATGCCGAGGGAGGTCTTGGGTCGCCTTAGGGCCAAGCTTGAGAGCTGGGGGAAGGGCTTCGTCGTGGCCGGCATCTTCCACGCGGGCTCTGGGGTCTGCCTGGCTGGGGTCGACAGCTGCCGATCGCAGTCGTCCACTGCCCACGTAGCAGTCAGGGTCTGCTCCACCGAGGCAGATGCACAGAAGCGCGTTCTACGTGTGAGTCGAGTGCCGGGACGTCGTGCTTTTGTGTCAATGGCGTGCTCCGGCCTTGGGATTTCGTCCAGCTCATTTCTCCGTATCTTTCTCCGTGTGATGCCAATGGCGATGGCTTCATGGTGTTGAGGTTGCATGAGAGTTGTCGCACTTATAGGAAGCCGTCGCAGTCCTGCCGATCTCGACGTTTCGTCTCGTCTTCCCCAAGGTCGCCGCCGCTCCTCGCCCTGTTGTTGTTCAAAGGTCGAGACAAACACGTGCACCACAGGCGAATTCGACTCTTCAGCCTCAAGCAAGTTGCTCCTGCCCTGCACCACACGTACCTGCCCTCTCACTGCCGCCGCCATGGGCACCGAAGACATTGAGACGCACGACACGCCCCGCGCGGGACCCGGCGAATCGTCGTCTCTCAAGGGCCTCACCGACGTGCAAGTCGGCCGCAGCGAGCTCAGCGATGCCATCCCCCCCGACCACAAGTACGAGGGCCGCCACCGATGGGATCCCACTGCGACGTGGACCGAGGCCGAGGAGAAGAGCGTCATTCGCAAGACGGACCTCTGCCTGCTGACCTGGCTCTGCGTCATGTTCTTCGGTCTCCAGCTCGATCGCGGCAATCTGTCCAACGCGCTGGCCGATGACTTCCTCACCGACATGAACCTCACGAGCGACGATTACAACAACGGTACCACCATTCAGCTCGTCGCCTTCCTCGCCGCCGAGTTCCCCGTCCAGCTGTTGACGAAGCGCTACGGTTTCCGCTACGTGCTGCCCACCATGATGTTCGCCTGGGGCACCGTCTCGTGGGCGCAGGCCTGGATGCACAACCGCACCGGCTTCTACATCACCCGCGCCCTCATTGGTTTCTGCGAGGGCGGTTTCATCCCCGGTGCCATCCTCTTCGCCACCTACTTCTACACCTCCAAGGAACTGTCCATCCGCCTCGCCGCTTTCTGGTCCACCCTCAACAT